ACGTGGGAGCAGGGTAACAAACTGCAAACTGTGGACTAGGCCTCCGGGCCTGCAAACTGTGGACTAGGCCGCTGGGCCTGCAAACTGTGGACTAGGCCGCTGGGCCTGCAAACTGTGGACTAGGCCTCCGGGCCTGCAAACTGAGGACTAGGCCGGTGGGCCGTATTTCCCCTACGAGAGGGGCAGTGTACTTTGAGGGCCAGGCCCAGACGGGCCGAGTTAGGCCCCAGATGGGGGTGGCAACCCCAAGACAGGGGCGAGCCCCCCGACACAGCCTTACAGGTTTTAGTATTATTCCATGCATCGGAAAGGTTCTTTCCATCTTTCATAGTATCTGGGCCATTCTCCCTCTCAGCGGTCACTCGATAACGAGTAGGACGTCTTCCTGTCACCCTCCTATTTATGGATCTGTAGATGGCTGACCAGCCCGATTCTGGAGCTGCAGGTCTTATCGCAGAAGTGGCAGGTGCTGGTGGCTATTGGAGGGATGCGGGGCAGTTTTAGCCGCTCTTTTCTCCTTCTCCGCCTCTCCTCATCTGCGCAGTGGTAGGGCCTCTCAAAGTAAATCCCCTCACGGATTACTGCTCTCCACTGGGGACGGTCCTGGGCAAGGTTCTCCTAAGTGTCAACACCGATGCCATGCTTTTTCATGTTTGCCTTCAATATGTCCTTAAATTGCTTCCTCACATCCCCAACGCTCCTCTGTCCTTCTTTCAGCTTGGAAAACAGAATCTGTTTTGGGAGGCACTGATCAGGCATTTGGACCACATGACCAATCCAGTGAAGTTGTTGGTAGATGATGATAGCTTCAATGCTAGTCATGTTCGACTCTTCTGGGACACTAGTGTTTATGTGCCGTCTTCCCAAGGGATATTTAAGATTTGCCTGTAGCAAGATCGATATTGTTCAGGAACCGTCAGGTGAAGTTTATATGTTGTCCAGTTTTCACATGTGTATAGCAGTGTTGGAACATCCACTGTGCGGTACACAAAGAGCTTTGTGTTGGCACTGATGTCCCAGTTCTCAAAGACCATTCGTCTCAGGTGCGCAAAAGCAGAACGTGCACAGCTCAGGCGATGCTGGATTTCCGCGTCAATGTTGACTTTGGCGGAGAGATGACTTCCAAGATATGGGAAATGCTCCATGTTTTCCAGCAGTTTTCCGTTGACTTTATACACAGTACATGAGATTGTCCTGTCAGCGAGAGTTAATGGAGCACTTTGGTGTTTTTGATGTTCAGTGCGAGGCCAAGATTCTCTTACGCATCAGCGAAGGCACTTAAGATGGTCTGAAGAGCTACGAGAGAAAAAGCAGCGACCATATTGTCATTCGTTTACTGGAGCTCCATGATTGAAGTTGTGGAGGCTTTGCTTTTGGCCTTCAGTCTCCTGAGGTTGAAAAGCTTCCCATTAGTTTTGTAGACAATCTTCACGCCATCTGGAAGCTTGCCATCAATGAGATGGAGGGTGATAGCAATGAAGATGCAGAACAGTGCTAGGGAAATGACTCAGCCTTGTTTGACTCCTGTTTTGACCTCAAAGGGGTTGCTTTGAGATCTGTTGTTACTCAGCATTGTGGCAGTCATGTTGCCATGAAGCAGCCTCAGGATGCTGGTGAATTTTTTGGGGTCTTTGAGAGGATGGTCCACAGGGCGCTACAATTGAATCGAACACCTTCGTCAGGTCGATGAAACTCATGTATAAGGCTTGATTTTGTTTGCAACATTTTTCTTGCAATTGCTGAGCGGTGAAGACCATGTCCACTGTTCCTCAAAATGGTCAGAAGCCACACTGGGATTCTGGAAGAATTTCTTCTGAGATTGGCAGGAGTCAATTGGCAAGGATTCGAGCTAAGATTTTCCCTGCTGTTGCCAGCAGGTAGATGCCGCAATAGTTTCCAAAGTCCAATTTGTCACCCTTTTTTAAAAGACTGACGATCAATGTGTTTCTCAACTCTCGTGATATCTACTCCCTAGTCCAGATCTTGAGAATTAGGAAATGGAGTTGTTTGTGGAGCTCTGGGCTGCCTTCTTTGAAAACTTCAGCGGGGATTCTGTCTAGTCCAGTTGCCTTGTTACTCTTCATCACTTTGATGGTAGCTTGGACCTCATTCAGGGTAGGAAGTACTGCGAGATCGTCCCTAGGCGGTTGCTGAAGGATTCGGTCAAGGGATTCTGGGACTACGGTGGAGGGGCTGTCCAGGAGCTCGTAAAAGTGCTCCTTCCAGTGAGAAGCAATTGATTCATTGGCTTTCAAGAGTTGGGTAACATCCTTTGATCTCGTGATTAATTCCATGGTTTCTCGGTCCGTAAACATCTTTGGTGGCATTGAAATACTAGGCCATTAGTATTCATATTGATTTAGTCGTTATAGTTTCAAAGGTTCTGTAACATAAAATATAATGACTACTTTTTAATCAGATTCTGAAAGTTACTTCTAACACTCTTCTTACACTTACTTGTTTACTTACTGGTATTTAAACAAACTGACACATTGTTTGGAAATGTGCCCCCAAACTGGAATCTGAATATTCCTTAATTGTTTGAGAGTTAGTATGCAAATTCTGTTGTTCAGGCCCAACTCTAATGCTATTATATTTGACTACCTAAAAGCCAGACACCCCAGCAAAAGTTCCCTTCAAAGTCATGTGGACTTTGTATTCATTTACTTGCACTTTGCAACAGGGCTATATTAGAAATTTGAAATGAAGAAAACATTAAATAATTTAAGTAATCCACTTGTCAGTGCTGGATTATTTCCCACAATACTTATTTTTAGTACTTTTTCTAGTTTTAAATGAACGTTTTCTCCACGTGTCAATACATTAACATTTTTTTCAAAATATGAAAAAAACTTTTTTTTTTTTTTTTTTTTTTTTTTGCATAGAAGGGGTATATTACTTATGGCATTGATTTCTTGAATCTCTGAGTGGCTAGTTTTTTGACATCACAGCAAACAACATACATTGATGCATATAATAACTCAATGCATTGCTTACATCTTTTAATATGTATTTATTTCTTTTAAACACTGAAGGTGTGTACATCTCGATTCTGGTTTAACTACCGTCATGTGGCAAATACACTTTCAGTTTACAGAAGCGTGAAATATAATCTTATTGTTTAAATTTTGATTTTAAAATAAAAGTTCATCTTCTGAAACAGGACTAAAATGTTGGTCTCTTCCTTTCATAAGCAGGTAGAGAGCAGTGACTTAATTACATTAATTTACTAAAAGTTGGAATAATATTATTAGAAAGGAAAATGACAAAAGTATGTACTGTGATGCTACCAGATAGAAATTGATAATTGGATCAAATTATGTGATGCTAACCAACCACTAAATTGCACTGCTAGTTAGTTTGTGAATGCACAGTTGAAAATTGGTAAAATGTATTCAGTCACTATATTGCAGCTTCATGTCTAACATAACTAATGTATTTTTAATATGCCTTTTGATTAAAGAACACTTCACTTAATGAGCAAGCCTAACTACAAGTGCAGTGCTTCAGCTAAATCAAGGGCACACAATTAGAGTGAGGACCTCTAAATGACTGGTTTCTAGCAAAGAAGCTTCTACATGTCATAAACTTTATTAAAAATAGACGTTTTGGTGGAAGTTTCAAAAGAGTTCAGTGCCTTTTCTGCACATGCGAGCTGTGCTCATCAGTTGCACCAGGATAGTGAAAAATGGCACAAACTCCATGATGTGGTTGCAGTTATATTAAAGGTTTATGGGAAGGAGACAATACTATTATAAGTCATCTTTATTCTGGTATAATTGCATTCATACCAGGCTTGTACTTGTATAACTGTTTTAGTTAATACCTTTGTAAAAAAACTGCAGACTCATCCAAAGTGTGAGTTTCTCAGCTCCCATTGTCTGGGCCCTACCAGATTCATGGCCATGAAAAAGGTGTGTCAGATCGTGAAATCTGGTCTTTTATGTTTATTTACCCCCACACTATATTTTTTCATAGAGGAGACCAGTGTTCTCAAATTGGGGATCTTGACCCAAAAGACAATTGCAAAGTTATTTTAGTGGATTTGTAGTATTGCCATTCTTGCCTCTGTGCTGTTTTCAGAGCTGGGTGGATGGAGATAAATGTCTGCTGGCCAGGAGCCTAGTTCTGAAGGCTAGCAGCAGCGCAGAAGTAAAGATGGTGATACTGTATTATTCTGTCTTACTTCTGTATTGCTGCTGGTTGGTGGTTACTTTGCCTTCAGAGTTGGGCTCCTGGCCAGCAGCCACTGTCCTGCTCTGAACACAGCCTGCTACCTGAAGCAGCAGAGAAATAAGAGTAGCAGGTACTTGGGATGTTAGATAGCATGTAATTGAATAGTCATGTGGCCTCATCAAATGTTAACGATTACATGACTATTTGATAGTCCCCAGGGGCAGGACCGGCAGCCAGGGCACTTCCAGCCCCACTTGCCCTTATAATTATGGTGACCATATTTTCTGAACCAAAATTAGGGACACATTAGCCACATCCTTGACCCCCATTAGCCATGCCCCCTGCCACAAGAAGTCCCACCCGTGGAGGTAGTACTCCCGGGGTCAAGATGGACACATGACCAGAAGGGTGTCATGTGACTCCTCTAAGAACTTCTCCCATCGTCCTCTTGCCAATAGGGATGAGTTTGGCCCTCACAGGACCCCCATGCAACTATTCTGCAATTGCATTAACCCAATTTACATTGCATTAACTCTGGGGGAGAGGCTGAGGGAAGTGTTTCCTCTAAGATTTTCCTCCCATGAGCAGAGTAAATTTTATCTTGCGTACCAGTTTTGAGTTCATGTGATCTTGTTCAGATGTGTGCCACTGTGGCACCCAAATTATTAATACATATCTTATAAACCTTTCATTTTTCCCTCTGCTGTCATGTCTCCTCCCCTCCCCTCACACCATTTGCTCCCCTGGTGCCTGCTGTCCCCCACCCCTCACCTTCCTCTGCTGTCCTGATTCCTGCCCTTTTCACTCCCCTCAGCCCTCCGGGACCTGCCCCCTTATCCTGCACCAGCCCCTTCTCTTTCCCGTGTGCCCACTACTTCTCTAGCCCCGGCAGCTCTTACTACATTTAAAATGCAGAGCTGCAGTGTGGGTGGCTCCTGGAACTACCCCCGCTGTGGCTCTGCAGAGTGGTCCTTATTGACTAATCATGTAGTTGATAGAAATTGTAGGTTCTACACAGTTAGCCAGATAACTGCAATTTAACATCCTTAATTTACACGCAAGAGATTGTTTTGTTTAAAAAAGCTCTTTATAGTAACTCCTACCACAACTTTTGTTCCTAAAGGACAGTAAAGACCAGATCCCCATCTGGCTTCAGGTGCTGTAGCTCCAGATTTCACTCTGACTATCTTATTAAAGTACACAATCTGCATAAAGTGGCTTGCATGCAATAACTATGCTGGGTGAGGTAGAATCAGGGCACTGGTGTCCTTAGAGACTAATGTCTTGCTCATCTAAGATAGTCTTCACTGACCAAAAAAAATTGTGTTGGAAACTGCAAGATAACTAACAGGCGTTAGTAATCTTGCTGTAAAAACCTAATGGAGACAAAGGTCTGTATTTTCACGGGGGTTGGACGTGGTGACGTAGAGTCTTGATCTTGCCTGGCAACCCTGTGCTAAAAATGACATGTGCCTTATCTCTTCTTAGGATTTTAGAGTGATATAATTGTTGCACATTAGTGATTTCTTAAAAAAAAAAAAAAAAAAAAAAAAAAAAGCAGCTTTGTGTCAGTTAAAACACACCCTTATTTTGTGGGAGAAGGAAGATGCAGTTGAACTGGGCCCTTGCTTAAATGGTCATATGTTGTTATTTGCCTAAGGCAGCCTTGTCCTTTACCTGTGTGAATGTGAACACTATGGGCTAGTGTGGAAATTAGGGGTAAATCCATACTTTTGTGCATTATTTATGTTTCTAGGACTCTGAATCTTTCATGCTCTGTCTATTCGCTGTATGTGATTCCCCCAGCTTATGGGTAGTATCCTGCTGTCACTTGAGTCAGTTGCAAAACTCTCATTGACTTTTGTGAATATAAGACTGATCATACAACTTTATTGAAAGGAAAAGCAGCTGTCTGCTGCTCAAAATTACTGCAAGGGAGTGTGGGATTAACTGCTTTCCTCGGGAGTGGACAATATTTTTTGAAAGGGGGCCACTTCACAAATTTCTGAAATGATTGCGGGCCGCACTGGAAGGGGCAGGGCCTTTGGTAGAAGGGGCAGGACTCGGAGGCCTCATTAGCCTGGGGTGGAGGAGGCCTCATTAGCCTGGGGTGGGGGGAGCGCATGAAGTCCTTGCTTCCACTTCCCAGTGCTGAGAGAGAACCGCCAGCTCCCCCATTCCCTGGTCTCGATTGGCTGGGGGCAGAGAAGTGGCAGGGCGACTGTGAGCCAGATCTGGCCCACGGAGGCTGTCTTGTCCACACCTGGCCTTGCTGTATCTCTTCAGCACAATGAGGCTCAATCTACACTGCACACACCTGTCAGCAAAGTTGATGTCAGGGATGTGAAGAGGTCTGATCCCTAATCAACATAGCTGTAGGAACAGATCTTCATAGCATAGATACAGCTAGCATTTTTACCAGCCTAACTTGCTTGTTTGTATCAAGACAGGCTATATCTGTTTGAGTACATTTAGGCTGTGTCTACATTGGCACCCCTTTCCGGAAAAGGGATGCTAATGAGACCAGTCGGAATTGCAAATGCTGCGGGGGATTTAAATATCCCCCGCGGCATTTGCAATTCCGACTGGTCTCATTAGCATCCCTTTTCCGGAAAGGGGTGCCAATGTAGACACAGCCTTATAGTATAAGTATTGATCGAGTGGTCTAGGTACCCTTACCTTTTGTGCCTATCTGGTGGTGTTTTGTTTAAGTGCTGCATAGAATCTGACAGTGCTCTGACACTTGGAGTCTCTGCTCTAAAGCTTGCAATATTTATATATTTGTTTCCTAACAGAATGGTGGATAAAGTATTCTCCTTTTTGGTACAGTGGGTATTGAGGGGTGTTTAAGCTGCCGACTGAACTTTGTGACATTGGAGGCATGGAGTTTCCCCGTTTATTTCTTTACTACTTTTGTTTTAGTTTTGTTATAGTATACGATTCTGTTTTCCCTTTAGGCTTCAAAAGATCCAGTAGACTATTTATTGAATATTAAAAACTTACTCCTCTTTTTAAATTTTTGATAATATTTACAGAATTCCATACTTTTGTGTAGGAGTGGAGATGTGGGTCTCCTTGTGGAACGTCTGTGACCCTACAGTGAATTTCTGACTTTATTGTGAGTTTATTTGCAGTCCTGCATTGTGCTTTTCAACAATGTCAGTGCCCCCACAGCTCCCATTAAAACTCTGGCCTGTGGGGAAAACAGCAGATTTCTTTCCTTTTCATTGTTTCACTTGACAAAAGCTTTGTGAGGGGCTTGTTGCCTTGTCCTCTTGCCTTCCTGTTTGTTTCACCTAGTTGTCCTGTTGTAATCTAAAATATCAGCTGTCTAGGCCAGTTTCTCTGTAGTTCTTGTTTGCTCATGCCTGCTACAGTGGGGGCCATGGCTCAAGAACCCAGACACTACTGTAATACAGATAATACTGCAAAGGAGTATTGATTTAAGCTCCTCTGAGATGTAGAGAGGGACAAACTGCAGTGAAATTTCCAAAATGGGGATAACGTGATTTACTTTTAAATTATGGATGAAAACGTATGAGAGAGCTAAGTGTTATTAGTATCCTCCCTTTTTCACAAATGTTCAACATGAGTGAAATTCATTCTACCAATGGATAGCCTGAGGAGTTGGCCTTTGTTTGGAGGAACTAAGGTGAGATTTAACATCCACCTTCTTAAGTTGAAGCATGCCACAGGAGATGGGCTGCTGTACTTTCTGCAGTTATTGCAGCCTCTTATTTGAATAGTGTTTGATTTTCCTCCCTGCCTCTGGACGGAGTTCCTAGCCACTCTGGCTGCAATGAGTCTGTCACTTAGGAACCGCCTTTCTGTTTTCTGCCTCCTACAGTGTTATATAACACAGGCCACAGAAATTGTATTCCAAATGTACTACAGGTTGAACCTCTCTAGTCCGGCACCCTTGGGACCTGACCGCCGCCGAACCAGAGAATTTGCTGAATCATAGAAGGTCAATATTGTATAGCAACATTACCTACACTTCCACTGCTTACTGGGCTGTTAGAAGACAGAGAAGGGTAAATTAGAGCTAAATCACAGCACAGAACGCTGAGAGCTATGACTGGTGGCTGTAAACAAACTTTATGGCATTACAGGAAAACTTGCTCTCACTCATGATAAGTGGCCATCTGGCTAACTAAAATCATGCCAGACCACAGATGTTGCTGGATTAGAGGTTCAACTTGTAAAATGCAGGATTTTGATAATTGTTTTTGAAATAGAGTGTGACAAACAACAGCAATGCTATATCTTAAAATCAGATTTATTAGGATCCTTCCTGGGTTTTAAAAAAATGAGTATTTCCTTCTGAAACCCATCTGTCAATAATAGCTAGATTTGTCATCCAGCAACAGAAGACATTAGGAAGATCCTGTTTGATATCCTGGATCTTTAGATACTCTTACATCTTGACATGAAGCAAAGCACTCTTATCTGTAGTATGAAAATTGTTACAAGACAGAATAGAAGCCCTCTTTAGGCAATCATAGTTTTAATCATTGTTCTAATCAATTCAGTGGCTATGATGGCAATAATCTGTTTGGTCAAGGCAGACACATTTCTGTTTAACAATTAAATTCCAAAATAACACTCTAAAATTACCACTATGAATGCTGAAGCACCAACATGGATACTAATGGATGACAGTGGAAGCAATTCTGCTAACATTAATTTGTTGTAATGCATAGTTTTTGTGTGGATGTACATGTTTCACATGTATTTTAAAATCTCACACAATGCATTAAATGTGTGTAGCAACTTGGTGTGCTTGTATATTTGAAATTCATTTTCCCAATAGTATTACATTATTCATTTTTGTCTGTATTGTTGATAGAGCATCTTGCAGTCTTCAAGAACATTACACAAGATGGTGGAGCTAATAGGTTCATAACAGCCTCAACTCAGAATTCCATGCTTTTGATGCTGGGACCTTGTGTACTTGTAGTTTTGTGAACTGATTTTTAACTACATCTGTGCAGGGCCCACACTCTCTATACCAGAATAGTTTAAAACCCACTTTCTCAATGCCCGTGAGAAGGCTTTATAATTGGGGTTGGAAAAAACACCACTAAGATATCTTCACTTATTCTTTGAGTTTTTCTCTGGAGATGGTCCCCAGCAGACCAGAGGCACGGGAGCAAAGCGGCAGCGGCGGCGGGGTGCCGTGCCTCTGAGGCTTTGCTCTGGCAAAGCCTCAGAGGTGCGGGACTCCGCCGCCACTGCAGCTTTGCTCCCCGTGTCCCTGGGTCCCTGGTCTGCTGGAGACGGTCCCCAGCAGACCAGAGGCACCGGGAGCAAAGCGGCGGCGGGGTGCCGCGCCTCTGAGGCTTTGCCAGAGCAAAGCCTCAGAGGCGCGGGACCCCTCTGCCTCCCCGGCTTTGCTCCAGGTGTCCCTGGTCTGCTGGAGACGGTCCCCAGCAGACCAGGGGAACCCGGAGCAGCTTTTCTCGCCCCGGAGGTCGAGGTGGCGGGACCGCTGCGCTCTGGGCGGTCCCGCTGCCTGCGAGCTCCCGGGCGAGAAAGCCCCGTTCGTAAGTGCGGATCCGACATAAGTCGGATCCGCGTAACTCGGGGACTGCCTGTATAATCTTATTTAAATGAGTAGAGCCCTATATAGACACAACATTTGTATCTTCAGCTGATAATGCAGTTGGCACACATAGCAGATATAAAATGGATATGTGCATATTTTGCAGGGCTCTAATAATGGGTCATGTTTGTTTGTTCCATGATTTGCAACCTTCCTTTTGTATTAAAATAGAATATCTGAAATTGTTATGTTTTGTTTTCCCCAGTCACATTGTCCTGATGCTGGCAGATGATATGGCATGTAATCCAAGGAATCCCAAGCCAGCAACAGTCTTTAGCCATAAAAACATGGAGCTAAATGTTTATGGAGATGATGTGGAAGTGGATTACAGAAGCTATGAGGTAACAATGCTTTGTTTATCTAACCAGATTTTTCTGTAGTGTTGCTTTAAAGCCTGATCAAAAGTCTATTGAAGTCAGTGATAGCCTTTCCATTCACTTCACAGGATTTTGGATCAGGCCTTTATTCTCAATTGATATATAACAAAAAGAAGATTCCTACTGATTTTCATAACTTGTTACAACTTTGTAGTTCTTTCCTACCAGTTACAATAAAATATTGTACATTGGTTATTTTAAAGAAAATGTTCATTCCCAGGCCTGTTATTGCTACTGCTGTTGTGAGTTGTGGCTAGGAGATTGTGAGGATTGCCATCTATTTTAACAGTATAAAAATGTTACTGATTTTCCATTTTGTTTAAGTAGTTTAGATTGTATGATTGGTTAAATTGCTAGCACTTCCATGTGCTTTGACATTAAGCAGGTGTGTGTTTGCACTTTGCGTGTTCAACATCTTTTTAAAAATATTTATTTTTTCCCCAAATAAAACATGTCCTTTTTGTAAGTAATTCATTTCTAACCACTTTATAACATCTGGTAAATTGAAATGTCTGCATCACTTTACTATGGTCTTGTTTTCAGAAAACACTTCTTACTGCAATTTTTTTCTAAGTATTAACTGGATTGACTTAACTGAGATTTCAGTTACAGAATTTTAATTAGTACCACACACTAAAATGATTTATAAAGCAAATGTATAGTTTACAGGAACAATTAAATTTCATACCATGTTTCCTATTGGAAACTTTGTAGGTTTACAGAAGATGTCATGCTCTCTGATTTTAATGTCCGGAGTCTGAATTTTTTTATAGCATTTCAGAGTGCTATAAATCTGCATTCAGAACAAGGAGTTCTAATGTTTAATCAAACAATTTATGGTCACTGTCCAGATGGACTGCATCTGATCTTTTAGATGTTTGTGCCACAGGAATCTTTTCCTTGCTTGAGCTGTACAGAGAATTTAAACTGTAGAGTTTTTATTAACATTTTTCCATGGTAACACACACTAATATTGCAGTATATTGTGAATTCATAAGTGGTGTTGACGGAGTAAAGATACACGCTACAGGCAGTCCCCGGGTTACGTACAAGATAGGGACTGTAGGTTTGTTCTTAAGTTGAATCTGTATGTAAATCGGAACTGGCGTCCAGATTCAGCCGCTGCTGAAACTGACCGCCAGTTCTGACT